AAGAGAATATATATAGAATATATATAGAATATAGAATAGAGAATATATATAGAAATAGCAAAGTTATAATAAAGAATGAATATATGAAATCTTATTTGTCATGAGAAAATCAATTCTTTTCAGGATCATCAATATTAACAGAGAAATAATCTAAGATTCTATTCTGAAATTATTGAATTATAAGTGATCAATTTATCAGCATTAGTGCAATGAAATGAATGATAGATATATTGATCCAAAGATACAGTGAATATTTTATTTTTTACTGATGCTTTATTTATAATGTATTTAATGTTATATATAAATTTATTAAAAAGTATTTATGCATCAATATTAAGAAAGATAATGATCCAACATTTCAAAGCTAGAGTTAAATTTTTGATAAGCAACTGATTTTATCTATTTATTTATTTTTTATTTTTTGGTAGTTATTTATTGGTTATCTATTATTGGTGTTTTTTAATATATATAATATTCTGTAATGATATAATGATTAATTTTTTTATTTCAAATATATAATATTAATCGTTCATTTGTTATAAAAATTTTACATTGTTATTTTACATTGATAACAAAGAATATAAACAAATGAAATGTTGTCAAAAATTGAAATGATTATAAAATAAAATATAGAAAAAGAAATTATATGCACAATTGTCATATTTTGAAATAATGCAAACTATTACAAATTCAATGATTAAGTGATTTACCATAAAATATACCAAAATTTTGAATAAATTAGTATTTTGAACAATTTTTTTGAATTTAGTTTATAATAAATTAGCAGAAATAATTATTAAATAATTATCTAAATTATAATAAATATCTTTAATTAATGATTTAATAATAATGACATTTTTTTGTAAAAAATATTTAATTGGATCGAATAATAAAATAAAAAATTCTATTTAAAAAAAAAATCAATTAAATATACTCTATGCATTCAATTATAGAACAATATCAAATTATATTTATTCAAAACCATTCAAACTTGTTTCTGAAATATATTTTAATAATATAATAATCTAAAATAATCAAATAGTAATTAAATGAAACATCATGTATAAGATTATTAGAAATGCATTAATTACATTAAAATTCAATTAAAAATTGATATAGAGCATGAAATTTTTTGTAAGATTTTGGAATTTTACAATTTCAGAAATAAAAAAATAAACAAATGTGACTATCAAATATCAAAATATGTGAAACTAAAAATTCAAAGTTTTATTTTAAATATCTCTCATATACTCTAGCAAATGAATCAACATGTTATGGGCATCAATCTTAATTTTTTAATTATTTTATATATAAATCAATAATATAATATTACAATATATTATATGTCTCTTAAACTCTAGTTGTTGTCTATGGAAAATTGGCATTCTGCTTAATGATATGAATTTTAAGAAAATTTAAGAAAAAAAATAAAAATAAATTTAATAAAAATTCAGTAAATTAATATTTATATAATTATATAATATTTATATAATTATAATATAANTATATTTATATTTAAACTTAAAATACTTTAATAACGATAAACTGAAATTTAAATTTTAAAATAAATTAATTTTAGTATAAAAAATAACGTTTGAATTTTTTAGACACAATAAGAAAAGACTAATAAGAAAATTCAATCTTTTCTATTTATATTTTCTATTTATATTTAATTTTGAAGAAATAAAATGTTATATTTTTTTGGATTACATCATTATATAATTATTATAATTTATATTTAATATCAAAAACTATACAAGGAGAATATTTAATATCAAAAACTATATAAAGAGGTTTCATATAATATTATATGGTAAATACATCTTTAAATTTTATTGTAATATCTATTATCATGCAAAATCGTCTTTACTACATATTTATTACAAAATGGTCCCTCTTAATATAGATTTTGATACCAAATATAAAGTATATGTAATAAATTATACAATACCATAATAAAATAATGAATACAAAAATTTAATAATAAATTAATGTCAATCAATAATAATTATAATTACTTTTTAATATTTTTATTTACTTGTTATACGAAAATATATAAAACATTATATATAAAAATAAAAAAAATATTATAAAAATATATTATATTATATTATAAAAATAAAAAAAAAATAAAAAAGATTAGATTTTTTTAAGTCATTGCTAAAAAAAATTCAAACATTATTTTAAACACTTCTTATTAAAATTAATTTGTTTTGAAATTTAAATTCACTTATCATCCTTATTTATTATTAAAGTTATTAAAAAAAAGTTATTATTAAAGTTATTAAATTAAAAAAGTTTTAAAATATTTTAAAAATATTTACTGTTTTATTTTTTAATCATAATTCATGTCATCATAAACAGAATGTCGCAGTATTTTACGAACAACAATCAAAACCGAAATTCCCTAAGAATTTAGGAAAATCCTAAAGAACTTCTTCCTCAGCTTTAATAATAAGATTACAATCTATTTTATATTTTATCTGTGGTATAACATAAATGAACATAAATTTTATATAATTAAATTATGAAATTAAATTTCATTGTAAATAAATATTTAACAATAAAAAATATAATAAAATGAATTTACTCATAAAAAATGTATTGTCTTACAAAATAAATAAAGTATATCATCAATTTGTACATACTGAAACGAAATTAAAAAAACAAATAAAATGGTTAACACCTACAGGATATAAAACAGATATTGTAATCTATAATCCAATAACAAAATGTAAAGTACCCTTAATTTTAAAAAATAAAAATATTCTAACTTGGTATGTATGTGGTCCTACTGTATATGATTCTGCACATATAGGACATGCAATGTAAGTTTTTCTTTTGAATTATTAATTTTGTATTTGAAATATTTATTTCACTTTATTTATTATAAAATAAAATTTTTTACAAATATTCATTTTATTGCATTAATAATGTAAATAAAAATTAAAATTTTATTTATTTTATTATTTTTTATAATTAAGTTATATAGCATATAAAAGTCTTTCAAATTTTATTTTATAGGACTTACGTACATTTGGATATTATCAGAAGAATATTAACAGATCATTTTAATATAAATATTGTAATGACCATGTGTTTAACAGATATAGATGATAAAATAATAATACGTTCAAAAGAATTAAAACAGAATTATAAAGATTTAACGAGATATTATGAAAATGAATTTATTGAAGATATGAAAATGTTAAATGTTATTAAGCCTCATTTATATTGTAGAGTTACTGATTATATTCCACAAATTATTCAATTTGTAAAAAGCATTGTAGATAAAGGCAATGCTTATCTTTCAAAAGATGGTAAAAAAAAAAAAATAATTACTTATTATTATTAATTTCAAAAATGTTTTATTTTTAGGATCAGTTTATTTTGATACATGTAAATATGAAATGTATGGCAAATTATCAACACCATTATTAGGTAATTCTCATCCAGATAAAAAATCTGCAATGGATTTTTGTCTTTGGAAAGCAGCTAAAGAAAATGAACCATGTTGGAAATCTTTATGGGGTTTTGGAAGACCAGGATGGCACATAGAATGTAGCACAATTGCAAGGTAAAAAAAAATATTAAAATTTTTTATTTCACTAATTTTATTAACTTAATTTATATAATTATAAAAATATATTTCAATTAGTACAGTTTTTGGAAATTCTGTGGACATTCATAGTGGTGGAATAGATCTTATATTTCCACATCATGAAAATGAAGAAGCACAATCTTGTTCTTATCACGAAGTAGAACAGTGGGTAAATTATTGGATACATTGTGGACACTTATCTTTAAAGAATGTAAAAATGTCAAAAAGTCTTAAAAATGTTATTAGCATAAGAGAATTTCTTAAAAAATATACAGCAAATCAATTTAGAATGCTTTGTCTACTTTCTAATTATAAAAATGGTATTACATTTTAAATAATTTTTGTATAAAATATTAATTAATTTTAAATTAAATTTAACTATTGAACTTTTCTATTTTTCAGAACTAAAATTTTCTGATGTTATAATGAATAATGCAATAGATATATTACATAAAATTGAACATTTTATTAACAATTGTGATAACTATATTGCTGGAAAATGGAATATTGGTAATATAGATGAAGTTGCATTACTTCGTGTTAGTTACATTTAATATCTAATTATTAATAATTATTTTTGTAAATATATTTATATTATATTTCTCAATAAAAATAAAATTTATTTTAGTGTTTAGAAGAAACAAAAAACAATGTTAATATTGCATTAGCAGATGATTTTAATACTGTACAAGCTATGAAATCATTGATAAATCTAATTGATATAGGAAATAAAATGTTACACGATTCTAAGGTAAATATGAATTTATTAATATTATGTATTTAGAAATGTATATATATATATATAATAATTATATATAATTATATATAATTATTATATATATATATAATTTACTGATAATAATAATGGTAACAAATTTGAAAAACTATTATATTAAATAGGATAACAAAATCACTTGTGGTACTTGTATACCTGCTATAGCTACAGTATTAAATTATATATCAACAATATTTTCAAAATTTGGAATTTCAAATTCTTCAACAATAAATGATGATAAAATAAACAACCTCGTTGAATGTTTGATTAAATTTAGACATATTGTTCGTAATAAAATTTTAGAACATGATGTAAAAGATAAAGCTTTACTTATTGCATGCGATAAAATACGATCAGAACTTTCTACTTATGGTGTAACAATAAAGGTATTACATTCAATTTATAATTTTTAAATCGTATATTTTATATTCTAATTCTATTTTTATCTCTATTTTTATTTTATTTTTAGGATTGTAAAACTGAAACAATTTGGAACATCAAAAGATATTAAACAAAAATCAGCAAAAATTCTTTTATTATAATTGAGTATTTTTAATAAAAAATGAAATGATTAAAATTTACATTTATTTTTATATTAGTTTTAGAGAAATAATTTTTTTAAATTAATATTAATTGCTATTAATTACTTAAATTTATTTTTGATTTTTTTGACTTAATATGATTGTTTTCCAGATTTTTCCTTTTCATTCCATTTTTCTTTTCTGCTATTGTTTTTTTTAACCCTTTCATCTTTCTTGTCTGTATGCTATTAATATTTTGTATTCCAACATGTATACGACCAAAGGTTGTTCCAAAATTATCTGTGGATATATTCTTGTTCTTCTTAATCTATTAATTGTAATTTAAATAAACAAATATATAAAAAAATCTTAATAAACTACACTATTTTAATAATAAAAATGTTACCTTAAGTTCTTTTGGTTTTTTACAAGCTTCTTTAAATAAATCTTCAGAAGCAAGCTTTATACGCCTACAAATTAAATTTACTCTTGGACCAATTTCTTCTAATTCAATTTTTGGTATTCTAGAATTGGATTTTTTCAAAAGTATTCTAAAATATAATTTTATGAAATAAAATACATTTGAAATCATTTTACATAATAATTTCTTATAATAAATAAATATACCTATAACTGCGTAAAAATATTTTATTCTCAACAATAGTAAAACTTAAAACATGTTCAAGACCTTGTAGTCTAATCTTTTCTACTGGTTCTCTTTGAAACATATCTACAAATAAATTTTTAATTTTATTATATTCATGATTATTTTCAAAAAGTTCTCCATTGAAAACTAATAAAGGTTTAATTCCTTGTGATATTTTTGAAATTTTAAAATCTTTCAAGCCTTTATAATTCTCTATACCAAATTCTGCCATATCTAATAATGTATGTTCATACATTCTTCCTATTATTAAGTTATGAGGACGTTTTTTATTATGTAAAGCAATCATGAAAAGTGATGCATTATATTTTATACAAAACTTTTCAACAGGTGTTATATCTTCAAATGGCAATATATCATTCTTTTTTTGCATCATCTCTGCATCTGGTTTTTTTAAATTATACTAAAATCAAATATTATCATATTAATTATATAAAATAATTTATTATTATTAGAACTTACCAAATCTTTCATAAAATCTACTACTATTTGTGAAGTTTTTTTGCTTTTAAAACACAAAATTTGTTTAACATTTTCTATTAATTTCGGTTCTTTTTTCAAAATAGCTCGTTTACCTCTATGGGTAGTTGGTTTTCTGTAAGAATTATATTGATATTTTTAAAATAAATAATATACATCATATTTATAAAAGAAGTTTATTTTAAAAAGTTTATTTATTTTATATTAAAATATATTTAAATATATTTTTAATAGAAATAAATAAATTTAATATATGAAATTAAAAAATGTATTGTAAAGATATATGTAATCATAACCAAAAATATCGATTTTCGGAATTTTTCATATAAAAATTAAAAATACTTACACTACTCTATTTATTACAGTCATATTGGTGAATCAATTTTAAAAAATTGTAAAATTATAGAAATATTGAATGAATAATTATTCTTTAAAATATATTACATCAGAACACATGCTATTATGAGATACGTTCTAGTAAGCATAGTCATATTAGTATTAGTATTTTTAGGCATAAAAAAAACTTAATAAATATGTATAGCAATAATTTGTCTGGATTTTACGAAATTATTAATCTTTAAATATAAATAAATATTATAATATATATATATAATATATAATATAAATATTATAATATAATATATAATATAAATAAAAATTATAATAATAAAAATTATAATTATAATAATAAATATTATATTATTAAAAATAATATTCAATTCTTCAAAAATTATTTATAAAAATGTATATAATTAATATAAATAATAAATTTCTTAAATATTGATTTGAAAATATATTTACATGTACATACATTTTAAAATACATTTACATGTATATGTATATTTATAAATGCTAATACCATACTTTACATAAATTTTCATTAATATTTGATTAATATTTTTTAAATCAAATTTTTTAATTTCATTAGATTTTTGTTACTCTCTTTCCTGCATTAACCTTTTATATTCTGCTTGTTTCTTCATTTGTTTTTGCTTCCGTTTGATTCGTAAAAAATCTTTTTTAATTAATATTAAAATTTACTTATAATTCATTTAATTGAAAAAATGAAAAAATTTTTAATTAATTTACCTTTCTTTGCATTTTGTTCTGATTGAACAATATCTTGCTTTTTATAATATTTTATATCATTTAAAACTTCAATATTAGGATTCTTTGATCTTATTACTGTTTATTGTACAAAAATTTTTTCTTTTTATTCACTTTAGATTTTAATATATTATCTAAAAAATAAATAATATAATGATATGTAGGATTGATTGACTACATGGTTCTAATATCTCATTATTTTAAGTAATAAATATTTTAAGTAATAAATCTTTTTTTTGATTATTAAATATAAATAAATTTGATAATTTTTTTGGTAGCTTTTGAATTTCTGTTTTTATTTCTCCACCAAAACATAATATCTTTTTAAAAGATATTATATTATTGTAAGAGAATCCTAATAAAATAATAAAAAAGAATATATTTCATACATATAAGATATTCAAATATTGAAGAATTCTTACAATTCTTGCACAATATATTAATAAACTTTTCATGATATTATCTATAACAATATCCCATATCTTCATGAAATCCAGTTCCATCTTGTAACTGAATTTTAACAAATCAAAATTACACATCTAAAAATATATTTTTCCATGAATATTTCAATGAAATCTAAAATATTTAATGTACATAAAATTTCATTATAAAAATTACAATACAATTATACATATCTATTTTTTGATTCGTAACATTATGGTCCATTTTTTTTCACAAATAGTTTATTTGCTAATAATATTAAATCATTATTAAAAGTTAATATTTCTTTTAAATCAAATTTCTGTGGAAATATTATATTCTTTTCCGAATTCATAGGCTAAAACAAATTAACTTCTATTATATTTTATATTTTTTATATTTTTTAATTTGTATAATTAAATATTATAAAGTTTATTATCATTTTTTTGATATAAATATTTACAATTTTTATACAAAATGGATAATTAATGATATTATCCATGATAATATTAATTTAAATGTTAAAGAAATTTAAAATTTTATAATATTTATTATTTAGAAAATATCGATATTTTCTACTATAAATTTTTGTAGTAATGAACTTCACATTTCAATTATTAGTGGCAATTTTAAAATTTAAATAAGATAATAAAAAAAACTGTATAAATTTTAAAATAATAATTAAATAATAAAAAAAATTTAATAAATATAGATTGAAAAATTTTCAAAAATGTAAAGAAAATTTTTTTCAATTTTTTATTTTAAAATAAAGGAATTTCTTATATCATATCGTATGTAATTTTATCATTTCTTTTTTTTCTAGTTATAAGAGTTTTCTACATCTCTTCATTTTATTATTATATTTATATATACTTGATATATTTTCAGAAAATTATATAATAAAGAATAATATATTTTTTTCAGAAATTCTCAGATATATTCTAGATATTTCACAGACTCTATATATCTTCTAATGTAATATCTATATCATTAATTATTGAAGAGTTCGCAATATTTTTGAAAAAAAATTTTGCATAATCATAATTTCAATTTTTCATAACTTTTTAAAAATTATAAAATGTAATAATAACGATAGAGTAAACTTTTGAAGTAAAAAAATTTCTTTTTATTGAAACAAAAAACTTTATAATTATTTATAATTTTGAAAATATTTTTTCTTTTTTTTTTATTCATATTTATTAAGATTTTCTTTTTAAATTATCTAAAGTTATGAATTCTTTTTTTTATCACTTTGATACTACACTTTGATATCTTTATTTTATATCTAATATAATATATTAAATGAAACTGAATTTCTATTTATAATTTTTTTTTTTATAATAATCAATTTTATATATTTAGCATACATTTTTTTCATAAATTAAATAAAAATCAAAAAATTAAAAATTTTAATATAAATCTTTGTTTTCTTTCCTTCGATAATTTAATAAATAATTAACAAAATATATTTTATATTTTTGTGTTGCATATACTATCTGTTATTTTGTATATTATGTATATGTAATTTTATGAACTAATATTTATTGTCAGAAAAATTGCAAAAAGATTCAGATTGCATATATTTGTTGTATCCAAATCTGTTAGCAAATTGATATATGTAACAGAAATATACAAAACAAATTGATAATTTACTAAAGCAAATTGACGATAAAAATTGGATAAATTAAACTAATATAACGTGTTGTCAGAATGGAAACAAAAACGAAATAAAATTTATGCAATAAACTAGTGCCAAATACGCAGCAAAAATTGAATAAATGTAACCTTGGATATTTAATTTAAATTTTAAATAGAAATATAATTTAAAATCTGTTAATTTTTTCCAAAATATGATCATTTAAAATGTAATAAGAATCATCATATGATATTATGTATATATATATATATTTCTTCAAACATTACATGAGCATCATAAAAAATACATGCATATATATATACATGTATTTTATAAAATGAATTTTTATATTATTAATGAAATGAAAAAAGAATTAATATCGATGTAAATAATATTTTTTTTATTTTATTCATTTATATATTACATTTTCGTATTGTGGTTTTATAAAATGTAAAACAAATTTTTTGATCGATTACGAATAATATTTTTACTTATTTTTTACTTTTCTGATTGTAAAAAAAAAAATTTCACATTTTTTATTTTATATTTTTTTGTATATTTTTATATAAATATATGTATATATTCTTTTAGAAAAAAAGAAAATACTTTATGCATCTCCATATAAAATTAATTTCTTTAATTTATAGAAATAATATGAGATTCTTCAGATAGGCCAAAAATACATTATTCGCTAAAACTTCTCCTTTTTATGATCTCCTTTTGTGTAATATCTTAATATTGTATCAATATTTTCAAATAATAAATAAATTTATAATTTTGAAGAGAATTTTAATAATTTTATTTTATTATTACTGCAGTGAACTATTTATAAATTATAGAGAATTTGATATTAATAAATTATAAAAGTTAATAAATTAAAAAAAATTAATAAAGATTGAATTATTTTCGAATTTTTAATCTTTTATATAAATACATGATTATTAAAAATGATATATTAAAAATAAATTTCAGTGATTAATTTATTATATTAATTTATTTAAGTATTAGTTTATTCAATTCGCTGTAATACATTTATGATAATAAAGCAAAAGAAACATGAAACTATTTTATGTATTATATTAGAGATATTGAATTGATTGCTGGTGAACCAGCAATTATGGCTTTTATTCCTCTTTCTTACCTTTCCGAAAAAACTGTACGAAAATATTTCTATCATATCTCTAAAAAATTTTTTTTTCAAACATTACATGAGCATCATAAACAATACTTTTATGTATATTTTTTCATATTTCATATTTTATCAATTATATAATAGTGATTAATTTGCTCATAGTAAGAAATTTAATTAATTAAATATAAAAAAATTAGTTCTCCCTCAAAAAAAAAATAGTATTTCCTTTTTTATAAAACTGATTAATCGAAAGTTAGACATTAGTTTAAAAGTTTTCTATTTTTGAAAATTAATTATTTTTTTCATTCCACATTTTACTTTATACTCTTTCTTTGCTGAGAAATATTGCTGTTTAGGCTTATAATCAATTCTTTTTATTAATTCATTTTCGAATAGAATTTTAGAATTACTAAAGATGTTTCATATATATCAAACAGTTTATGAAGCTATCGATCATCACAACTTCGTTTTTAATACTTAATATTTTTTTTCCATATTTAATATGTTTAATATTTTTTTTAGAAGATTTTATTATTATCCTTTCTAATTTTTGAAGTTCAATTTAATGCATGTTTGTCAAATTTGAGGCATTTTCTAATAGCTTGTTATTTTTGCTCAAGGCAGATTTTTAATGTAGTTTTTTAAGGATATAATTGCCATTTAAAAATATTGACTTGAAGGCAGTCTTCTAGTAAGTTATTTTTTATTAATAAAATAGATTCAATGTCTGCCTATCAATATATATATGGAATTAACCAATCTATCTCAACTAAATGTCACAAATCTAGTATTGATCCTTAAAATTAATAACTTAATTAACAAAAATAATTAAACTCAAAAATCTTCTGATCATTGCAGGCATTAACACTCACTTTTATAATATTGATAATCTAATATTGCTTTAAAATATGATTATGAAATACCAATCATTAAATACATCATTTGAAAATGAAAAAATAATAGAATAATAAAAAAAACAATGTAATTATAAAAATTCATTTGTATCATAAATATCTTGAATAACTGCAATCCCTTATAATAATTTAATTAAGATTTTCTTTTTTTCAATTTAATTAAAATACTTTGTCAAAATTTAATCATTTATACTTTTTTTAAAATAAATTAATGATTTTCTTCTGATTAAAACCGCCTATATATATGAAATAGTTTTCCTAGAATA